AAAAAAAAAAAAAAAAAAAAAATGCTGTGAGTTGGGATACATTTCAGCCTCTTGATCTACTGAAGCCTGATCTAGTCTGTCGCTCCTGAAAAGTCCAAACCTCACTTTCCAAAGGACTTGAAGTCCTCTGTAAGAAATAGTAATCCTGGCAGCAAGAGGCTTGCTTTTTTCCTCAGTGAGGTTCTGCAGCAGTGGAGAGCTTCCCCTGCTTCCCCGTGCTGTGCTGGTCGTGGCCTGGATCATGCGTTTCTAAGCCCGTCCCTAACACAAGAACTTGTGCTTGTGTGCCTGAGTGGTGAGCTGATCCAGCTGAAAGGATAACCTTTCTGTAGGATTACTTTTTGGCTGGGTCTGCCCCCTGGCTGGTTCACTGCAGTGCTACCAGTACTGCCGATGGTGTCAGGGAACGGAGCAGAAACACCCAACTCTGTTGCTTGTAGGACCTCTTTCTTGTCTCAGTGGAAAGCTATGCTCTTGCTGGGATGCTTTTCTAGCCTTTTCAGAGACTTGAATTGATTCACAGGATGATATGAAAGCCAAAGTTGACATTGGATTAATAGGGTGGGGGGAAGCTGGATTGCTGCCTTTCTATATGGGGGAGGTTGCCCTGCTGCCTTGTTTTACCTCACGAAAGCGCACACGTCTTTCAAAACTTTTTCCAAGGACCGGGCCACGAACGTAAATCTGTTATGATGAAAGATAGATGGCTTCTTCAAAATGTCATGTTCTTAAAATAGATCTATACATGTGTAATTGTATATATGTGTGTGTGTAATCTAATGCACTTGCGTAACAGGAAAGCCTTAAGTGCTTATTCCCATTTAGAGTCAATTTCCAGGTGAACATGTTAAAATACAATTTGATCTGTTCATGTCAGTTGTCTTAAAAGTGGTTTTATTGGAAAACAAACATTCTTTCCTAGCTGAGCCTATAGTTGTTTTTGCTGGGATGTCTGACAGTGCAGGCTTCCATGTTTAAATTAATGCAGTGAGACTGGTTATGCGCAGAACATAGAGGGAGCCGCTCTCTTATCTACCAGCGTGAAAGGCTTAGGAGTTGGTGGTAAGGTGGGTCAGCCATTAAGGCAATGCCTCTTCTCTCCAAATTGTGGAGGAGGTGGTATGAAGTAGATTAACGCTTTTATTCTAAGGAAGGGGGGAGGGAGGTACTGTAAGAAACTTGGCCGGCCAGAGGAGGAAGCTGACCTGTTGCCTTGAGCCTCTGCCCTTCAGTGGAAGCTTCCCTGTGGGTTGCCATATGGATCTGTGCTGCTGGGAGGTCGATACCTGAGAAGGATGGCCCTGTTGTGCTGCAAGGGATTGTTCTGGGGTTGTCACATCAAGGTAGCTCAGGCACCCTTGTGTGTGGCTTTGAAGTCAGGCTTGCATGTTTGAGAATCTGAAATGAAGCTTTGTAAACAAAATGGAGTCAATTGTGCTTTTTGAAATCTAGGATTTATATCAACAGAGGCTGAATTTCTTTGTACTTCTGGTTATTCTTGTGTTGTGTTTTATTGAGTTCCTTAGTGTAACATGAGCAGATGGTTATTGGGAAAGATGGATTTGACATGTGTCACTGTCCAAACTACTGTTCTGCCTAAAACTTTAGGCAAAAAGTCTGTTCTTGCAGTACAAATCAAAGTGACTGTTGGTTTTGGACATGAGTTAACCTGGCCTCTAGTCCTCCCTCCATCAAAGCTGCTTTTAAAATTCTCTTTATGTGAGAATTTTTGTTTAAGGGAGAATTTTTTAGCATTTTACACTTTTTAGGCTGAAACCTTTAAGTTGG